GTTATATACTCAGAGATACCTTACCTAATATTATTAACTTTCTCACAATTGAATCTACGTAATTGAATCTAATATTTTCACTTAAAAGATATTATTGTTTAGTCTATTAAGCAACGCCTGAACAAGGCCGTTAAGCTGTGCCTGTTATTTCATAAGACCTGTAAGTCCTGTTATTTCATAAGACCTGTATATATTACCTTAACATGCAAATAAAGACTTTGAGTTTGAATATAAGTCTAGACACAAAAATCTATACTAATATTATAAAGCTAAAGAGTTTGTTTTTTTGTTTGTTTGTTTGTTTGAACGCGCTAATCTCCGAAACTACTGGTCCGATTTGAAAAATTCTTTCTGTGTTAGATAGCCCATTTATCGAGGAAGGCTATAGGCTATAAAATATCACGCTACGATTAATAGGCGCCGAGCAGAGTGAGTGAAACCGCGCGGATAGCATAGTATAGCATAAAATAACTCCGTTGTAACCTGAAAGAAAGAAAAACAGACATGCCCTCTTTTTTACCTAGGTACCCGTTTTCAGTGTCTGAGTGGTTAGCGCCACTTATATGTTCTGTGGTTAGCGCAGGAGTTGGGCAACCGGCTGCTGCGTGATGAATCGCGAGTTTTATTCTCACACGAAATAACTATTTGTGTGATGAAGCGTAATTTACAAAATGTTCTTTTTTTATTCATTTAAATCAGGTAGACAGTTGAGACAACTGATAAATGCCCGTATCGCATCTTCATATCAGTGGTTAATTCGATGTTGTGTATCTGTCAAGTCTGTTTTTGAACTGGTTAACATTCTGTGTAGTGTGTTGTTAATATGTTGTTCCAAGTCTGTAAACTATAGTGCAAGTTGAAGTGTCTACCACATTACAAGATCACGGTGCTCTTTTTATTTCCCTAATTAAACGAAAATTGCGATAGCACCATAGCACGACCAAACGAGACCGGAGAGCCATCAAGACTAAACGGAAAAGACATCTGTAATAGAAAATTATTTATTATTTTTTTATTTTGTGGCTTAAACTCAATAACAACAAAACGTTTTGAGTTATTTATTATTGTTTTAGTTTGTTCGCCTACTATTTTCGAATAGCAATAAGGCAAGCTGCCGCGGCAAATTAAAAAAACAACAGGCGCTGTTTTTAACTAATACTTTTGGAACTAGTAGGTACTTATTGAATGCGCATCTATTATTGAATTTTCTGAAGAATTTCTTCATTATTCCATTTAGCCCATTACATTGAATAATAAGTAAGTAAGGTAGACTTTTTATTGTACATACGTAAAAGTCCTGTTGCTTGTTTATTTGCACAATGGATGCATTCAACAATATCTTAAAGGAGAACGGCAGATTTTGTACCGCTTCGCTAAAAAAATATTTGTCATTAAAAAATTGGGTCGTTATAGAACCTCCTAAGTACGTTATGTTAGCATATTTAATAGATTTTTAAAACATGGGAAACCCTAGAAAAACTGATATTCAATAATGATAAAAATCAATTCACTAAACGTTTCCAAACGTTAAAACACATCGCGATTGACGTTTACAAAGTTGCCATGCGTAAAGATAAAATCAGAGCATATTGAATTTCGCTATTTCATAAACTCATTTATTTTAATATCTATCAATGAAATATTTTCCTTTCCATTTCAAACATTTTTATAAGTAAATATAAAAATCTACATCCAATCTAAATCTACGTTTACATGGATTATTAATGATAATTAACATTTTATCAAACTTGAATATGGCAATGTTGAACTGGCATTTGTCTTGATGACATTGACAATTAATTTGTCAATACCGGCGCATTGCTGTTTGTTTCAAATGCGATGTTATGATGTGTTTGTTGAATTTGAAGTTATTTTATTCATCTGGTGATACGTTGAGTTTGGCAACCGTTCCTCCGTAGCCCAAATTGGTGTTATTGGCATCATTGTTGCTACAATTGCGAAAAGACACTTATTACATTATTTTGTGCATAGTGTGTTGTAATCTGTCGCGATGATGAATTTACAGTGCATTAATTGCATTCAGAGTTTGTCGCACATGAGACGGTATGCTCTAGGAAATGAGAGTAAAGATTAGACGTGGTCAACAATATCCCATTGCGGACTTATCCTAGAGATGTAAGTACCTAGTTTACCCGGATAACATATCGAAAGTCACCATGTTGCCTGAATAAAAGAAGGCGCATAGTGTTATCTACCCATAATGTATCATTTTATTCTAGATCTCTCCTACCAACCATATTTGCAATGCTTGCTGGCAATTGGCAATGTATCGGGATGTTGCTGAAAGTATGTCCAGCAAACAAATTGGTCATCGGCATGTTTGTGTCGTATATGGCTGATTCATTGCAAGGATAAGGTGACGCAGGGTTTTAATTGAAGGCGCCAAAGAACAGGACTAAAGACTGGCTCATATAGTATTTGATTGGATTCAGCCACAAGAGGTAATAAAGCATAATTTAACCATACTATTATCATTTACAGTGTAATCTAAGGTCAATATCATATTCTAATAATATTACTTATTTTATATTACTTCCCATGATGAAGATCATGTTCCATACTGACTGAGAGACCATACAAGAGTCGAAACTATAAAACCACAACCTGACATACCACCACACAGTGTTCACTATCAGGAAGTAATGTGTTATGTAAACATGGACTAAGCCTCATTTTAACATTGCCATTTGTAGAACAGATGAGGCCGGAAGATGTTGTTCGGCTTTCAGAGCTTCAACAAGTATGCATTCTCATTATAATGTACCTACATAATTATGTATCTATGTGGAGTATATAAGCGGTTTATAATAGGTTTATACTCATGTTATAATTATAATTTATTAACTCGTCGAGTACCGGTTTTATAGACACAATTAAAGAACAATGGGTCACGGTCACCGGTGACCGCTTGGTGTTTGACAGTTTAATTAGCATGCTGTTTGAGCTCCTATGATCTGTAATACAAATAATGTGATCTGATATATGAATAACTATAATAAGTGTTATAAAATCAATTAATGTAATCAAATATTTATTTTTATCTTTTCCATTTTAAACTGTCAAACACAAAGCGGTCACCGGTGACCGCAACCTATTGTTCTTTAATTGTGTCTATAAATACGGTACTCGACGAGTTAAGGTAGGGAATCAGACATATTATTATAATATATAAAACTAAAGGAAAAAATGTACTTTTGTTTACTTTATTTACAGTTACCTTACTTGTTTACAGCAATTGATGTCTGCTGTACCTATGACACTGCCTGTTCTCCTTTTAGATGAAATAGTCCTAGAAACAACCTGAATACAATGAAATAAAAGAATTTTAAAATAATACATTTGTTTTATTTTAACCTAGTAAGTAACTATAAATTCTATCTTGATAAAAGTGATTTTAAGAATCAATCTATAAAATAAATGCCATATTTAATTTAGATAGCTTTAGTTTTATACCAAAAATGTTCATTTTCATTTTACATTTTCTTTAGTTGTGATGTGGTGGCCTGGAGGTTTAAGAAGCCCGCTTCTCATGCATGAGTGTGGGTTCGAAACCTACCAACAGCAAAGTACCAATGTGTCTTTCTTCCGAGTTATTCGTATATTAAATAATCTAAGAAAGTACAAAGACACCTCTAACGAATTATGAGGAAACATGGGCTTATAATTTCTTATTATAAGTTTGAATTACCACCCACATTGAGCTAGTATGGTGATTAATGCTCAAACCTTCTCCATGCGAGAAGAGGCTTCGGTCAGCAGTGGCCACTTATAGACTTAATGATGAAAATGTTGATGATTCTACTAATTTGACTTACTTATTAGAAATTAAACCTTACACGCGTGCTAAGCAACCAGTTTTCAGAAGAAATACTTTCTCAAAGAGCTAAGCTTAAGTTTAAATCGAATTAACTTAAAGACTATTTGTATATCAGGCCTCTGCCTCGAATCTTGATTTTATACATTAAATCTTGCGTCTGCCCGCAAGATTCAAGGTGAAGTGAGACATTAGTTTTATCATATCCGCCACAAGACTTCCACTGCTAAATGTAGGCCTTCTACCCAATGACAGTCGCTTACATTATGAATTTGCATTTTCGTAGGCACCTAAGAAATGAAAAGATTGTGAGGCATACTCTTTAAAACTCTATTGGTACATCATGATTGCTGAATTAACAGGATCATTCCTAATAATACAAAGTAATAGTCAGTAGAGTAGCGAGCAGTATTTAGATTTTGTTTTTTGTAAACAACCACTAGAGAGCACATTGACATTTTTCCGTTAACTGTCATCTGTCATTTGTAATAGATATTTTGCTTAACGGTGGCTCTACACTTGACGTTGCGTATTAGTCGTGTTCGGCCAAAAAAAAACATGTGTGGAGGATTTATTCTTCTTTGTTTGCTCTATATTTGCACGCCATTACATATAGGGAACTATTTGGACGCCATTTATACGTAGTCAACAAATATTTTAACAAATGAAGCGACTACGCAATGTCAAGTGTGGTACCACCTTAACGTACCTTTTGCACATTTTCAAAGTGAAATAACTTTTGAACCCCAAGTTCTAAAAATATGTAATTTTTTTCTAAACTTCATAACAAAAATATCTATCGTTCAGACTATTCGCTTGGTTAAAACAATGACTAATACAAAATTTTATAGCGGTACAAAACTTCCATACAAACCTGCCATTCTCCTTTTAAATTCAATATCGGACATATCAATAGAACAGGATTTTTATAGAGTAAATATATATATGATTTTATTATTAAATTAAATGTTGCTTAATCAAATGACTTGGTGATAAAATACATACGTAAAAATAAAGACAAAACTGAACGCAGTCTCATTTTGACATTCACACATCGCATATGACATGAAAAAGACAGTTATTCAGTGACAGCTTTATCAAAACATTATTCCTTTACACAAGCAGTTGTTACTTGTGCCGGTATTAAAAATTCATAAATACAAGAATGGCTACTCGTAATATCTTGAAACTGGGAGCTCTAGAGGCTCAGAAGACGGCGTTCCTACTATGCGACATCCAGGAAACTTTTAGACCTCACATAAAATACTTTGGAGAAGTTGTTAAAGTGGCGAATAAAATGGTAAGGTATTTTATCGAAGATTGTTACGTAATATCTGTTGATATCCGCTTGTAATCTATTGTAATAAACTTTGTGGTTGTTCGATAAGATATTTGTGAAGATCTTTCGTGTTTAAACCGAGACACTGATAAAGATGATTGAAAACGTCTGTGTGTATGTTAAATCTTGTTATGTTCATGATTTTCAGACTTTAAAGTACTTTAAAATGCACTGAGTAAAGGTCAAAGGTTTTAGCGAGTTCTAGAAGTAACACATATCAAAAAACTAGCTACTTCCGCGCGGTTTCAATCACTCTGCTCAGCGCCTATTTATCGTAGCGTGATATTTTATAGCCTATAGCCTTCCTCGATAAGTGGACTATCCAACACAGAAATAATTTTTCAAATCGGATCAGTAGTTTCGGAGATTAGAGTGTTCAAACAAACAAAAAAACAAACTTCTGCGCTATAATATTTCCTTATCATAAAATTATTTTGGTTTAATCCCAGAAGGGGTAGACAGAAGTGCATATTTGCAATGTAACATTCACTTTTAATTTATGTTTAGTCCCATCTAATTCCCTATTCAGCGTAAAGCGTAATACAATAATTATACTGACTACAATTCCAGAAAATACTATTTCCGAGAATATTATAATAAATATTAAAAATCTGTAACACATTAATGTTACCAAACTCGGGAATTATTATTTGTTGCCTCTTGAATTGAACTTAACCTGACTCTGAAATCGAACCTAAGGAGAAGTCATTTGATGATATTTCCCCATTAAAAAAGTAGGTACCACTTAACATTTTAGTACCACCATGGGCATGTTGCCACCCTGTTGCTCTTTTATTATATTTTTTTTTATATTGTTATTTGTTTTTGTTTTTCTCTGCTGTTTTTTTTAATGTTTTTGTATGCAATTATTGTTTTTTAATTTTGTATTTAACACATTGAACGCCATGGGGGACAACGTATGGGCCACACTAGCGGAGGATTTACCTTCAACAGTTTTCTGTCGGCTGTCAAAGTCTTAAATTTTATATTATGTTTGTATATTTGGTGGGTTATGCCTAATGACGAATAAATTATTTTTCTTTCTTTCTTTCTTTCATTTGACGCATAAGACAGCCAAGTACAAACAAAATATTTTCAATAAATTCCAGGTAGAAGCAGCAAAACACTTCAAAATACCTGTATATGTCTCCGAGCAGTACCCAAAAGGTCTCGGTCACACCACAAAGGATATCAACATATCTGAAGCAGCACTTGTCTACCCAAAGACTAAGTTCTCCATGTATACCCCGGAGTTGGAGGAGAAATTGAAACAGGACGTGCCTGATCTAAAATCGGTGGTGTTGTTTGGTATCGAGGTGAGATTTTTATTCACATAACATAACATCACGCCTTTTATCCCCGAAGGGGTAGGCAGAGGTGCACATTATACCACTGTACAATGTAACACCCACTTTTCACTATTTATGTTATGAGTCCCATGTAATAAGGGGTGAGCCTATTGCCATATACCGGGCACAATTCCAGACTCCGTGCTACTACTGAGACCCCTTGCCCGGCAGTCGCACTTGCGACCACTCGGCCAAAGAGGCAGTCAAAATTACTTTTTATCCAAAGTGTTAATATTCTAAATGTGTAAGTTTTATTTGTTACTTCTTTTCTCTTTATATAGGTACCTTCTCAATATATCAACTTGAATATCTACATAAAATTAAAATATTGTTGGGAGTATCAAGAATAATCTTGAATATTCATGTGGTCAAAGCTAGCATACAACTAATGTAACATCATACTCTTTGAAAGTAATTTTTATTACTTATATTAAATTACCTGATGGTAACCAATCGCCGCCGCCAATGGACATCTGAAACTCCAGTGGTGTTTTGGGGATTAGGAATTTGAGAATTGTTGGATATTGGGGGAAGGGGGTGATTGGCCTTCTATAACCTCACACGATGAAATACAAGGCAAGCGTTGTTTCACGTCGGTTTTCCGTGAGGCCGTGGTATCACTTCGTTCGAGCCGGCCCATTCGTGCCGAAGCATGGCTCTCCCACACTTGTTATTCTATGTACAAGAGGGCTATTTAAAGATATATCATGTTACACTGGACATAATTTTAGACTCCACGCTATTGCTAAGAAAGTTTTGAAGAATAAAAAAATCCCAATCACTACATAGTATAAAACAAATTCGCTTCCTCTGTCCCTATGTCCCTTTGTATGCTTAAATCTTTGAAACTACGCAACGGATTTTGATGCGGTTTTATTTAATAGATAAGTGATTCAAGAGGAGAGTTTATATGTATAACTAGCTTTTACCCGCGGCTTCGCTCGCGTCACAAAAGGATAAAAAGTAGCCTATGTGACATATACCAATACACACAGGTGCCATCTATACCAATACTTTGGTTTTCCCTCAGGAACATCACATTTTCCGGGATAAAAAGTACCCTATTATTTAATCCCGACTTCTAACTTTACGTCTGTAAAAATTCAAAGCAATCGGTTTAGTAGTTACGGCGTGAAAGCGGAACAAACAAACAAACAAACTCACTTTCCGATTTATAATATTAGTAAGGATACATACATATTGCACCCGTGCGAAGCCGGGGCGGGTCGATAGTTATAAATAAAGTGAAAATCATTTATTTTAACATTTTGAATCAAATTAACTCCACAATAACACTTGACCAACGAAGTAGCCTTGCAAAAGAATTGCCTTACAATAAGTATTTAATCATGGTCTTATCTTCAAACCTACCTCTGAACAACCTTTACAGAACTCACATTAATTAACTATTTTAATTAAATTACATTCCAGACACATGTATGTATAGAGCAGACCGTGATAGACCTACTGAGTAAGGACATTGTGGTGCATGTACTGGCTGACGGAGTGTCTTCCCGGTCTCTACTGGACAGGGGACTGGCTTTGCAGGTATAGAAACAATTTCATTTTATTTTTAGCTATGATCGTCCCACTGCAGGGCTTTTTATTTTAAGGGGGGAAAATCATCGAATGACTGCTCCCGCCTGGATGAGGCGGGAGGGAGTGTCAGGCTCTTACTGACTAAAAACACCCCGTTCCTTCTCCTGCACGTCGAGCCGGAGCCCCGGTTACCCGTTAGGTTCTCCGCGACCTGTGCGTTTACCTGGTACCCATGTGGGTAGCCAGAACGCCACGGAGATGTCCTGATACTCCTCGATGCGGAGGTTTGTCAGAGGGCATCGGAAGTGGCTCTGCAGGGCTAAGGCCAAAAGGAGATATGGAGCTAAATACACAGCTATATGGTAACCGCAGAGTAGAATACATTATTTTGTTATCAATACTGTTATTGAGAATATCTGTATCAAACTTTGAATAAGGATTAGAAGTCTTAAAAGTGCTTTTTATCAAAATCAGTCGCAATAGTTTTACTGTTTTATTACCAAACTAGCTTTTACCCGCGGCTTCGCTCGCGTCACAAGAGGATAAAAGTAGCCTATACCAATACACACAGCGCCATCTATACCAATTCTTTTGTTTTCCCTCGGGAATAACAACATTTTCGGGGATAAAAAGTACCCTATTATTTAATCCGGACTTGTAATTATACATCTGCAAAAATTGAAAGTAATCAGTTTAGATGTTACGGCGTGAAAGCGGAACAAACAAACAAACAAACTCACTTTCCCATTTATTATAGTAAGGAAAGGATGATATTCCTTCTAGACGTGGCAACCAGTATTATGCCAACCAAATCAGAGTTTTACTTATGTCTGAGAGCCTCAAAGACAACCCTTAAGCATAAAAGTATCCTTTGCATGGCACCTAAAATATATAATAAAATCCCAAATACTATCAAGAATCTGAATTTAACACAATTTAAACGGAAACTTAACAATTTTCTAATTGATAAATGCTATTATACCATTGACGATTTCTTTCATGACAAAATGTAATAAACTGACAACTATGTGTATAATTAATTATGAAAACTTGGGTAACTTATTGTTTATTTAATGCTTGTATTAATTTATTTTGTTGCAAAATTTTTGACATTTTTGCTATTGATTGTTTATTTAATGCCTGTTATAATTTATATTGTGACTAATTCTTGATATTTTATTAATTATTTATGTTAAAATTTTGAATGTGATGATTATTTTTATACTTATTAAATAGTGTATGCCTAATGGGCAGCTTTTTGCGCTACTATAATAATAATTTTAAGACCATTTTGTATCACCAAAAAGCACACGAATAAATACTTTGACTTTGACTTATTCTTACCTTTTCAATTGTTCCAGCGTCTTCAATCCATCGGCTGCTTCGTGGGCACCTCAGAAAATGTTCTCTTCAAACTCATGAGGGACAAAAACCACCCTGTATTCAAACAAATATCTAAACTAAACATGGTACCTACTTCTGACGAATTTGGAATGGCACAGAAAAGTCAGATCTAATATTCATATGATTAAGGTGCAATTTTGTACGCAGTAAGTTGACAACATTTATATGGTACAGGTGGTGATAAGTTGATTAAACACATTTTGTTAACTAATTTAAATAAATTGAATCAATATATTGTATGACGTCACGTTTTTATATAATAATAATAATAATAAGCCCGCAGGGCACCTTGAGGCGAGGTGACGGGCATTAGCGATCCCGCGGGCTACCATCATCCCGAGTGCTCCAGGGAGAAGTCACCGTTCCTTCATCTCCGGCTTGCCTTAATTGGCTGGCTGGAGTGAAAGATGACAAGGAACAGGTCTCCCACCTCTGGCTTGCCTTCATTGGCCGTCCAGAGTGGAGTCGCGAGAGCAGTGAACCTGCTCGGAGGGTAAGAAACTATTCGTAAGTCGCGAGTGGGCCAGGGATGCAGGAGGCTTCGGCTGGAGCAGATGATCTGAGTAGAAAGCGGTGGTAGTTTCTTAACCCTTCAGCCACTCACATTCTCGTTGCCCCTCTGTTGCTATATCTAGCAACCATTCCCGGGGCCCGGTTGGTGAGTTGGCGAGTCTCCGCCTGCCATTTTTACGTGTAAAAATTACATTGTTTCGGCAGGTGCCATAGTCATCCATAGTTCCCAATTTACCAGTCCACAGCAACCCATCCATAGCCCTACCTTTTTTTTTTTTTTTTTTCCATTATTCACAATAGTCCTACACTAACCGGGGACTGTCCTTGGGTGCATTTCCATAGTGCATACAGGGATAGTCGCCGGTTTGTGTGTCCATTACATTTAGATTAAAGTTGTCTAAAGGGCCTCTGCGCAGTTGGCTTCGGCCCCTCGTACGCCTCCCAAATGACCGGGACCCTGTGGTCCCGTGAATGGTAAAGACATACATAATAATAATAATAATAATAATCTTTATTGTACACCTTAAATTAATAGAATATACATGTAATGTTATAATAAAGAATAGTAGGGTACAAAGGCGGCCTTATCACTAAAAGCGATCTCTACCAGGCAACCTTTGGGTGAATGGAGTACTATTGTATGAAAGTATATACTAAGTTTTGACGTAACAAAATCACCACTCCTTTAAAATACTACGTTGGCTCAGTGATCCAAAGTGGATCTTGGCTTTGGAGACTTCTCCATTCTTTGTGGATCTTGGGCGGTTACTCAAAATAGTATGATATTAGATACAAATTCCTACGGGCCAAATTTTACAACACCAGATAAATTATAACTGAAGATTATGTCTGAATATTTGACAATTCTTCCATACTAAAAACTGACAATTTTATTGTGCAATTAAGAGTTAACTGATATTATTGAAGAATCGACCCTAAAGCCTCTTACGCACTAGCGGTTGACCGCCTGGGCGGTTCGTATGGACAGACGCAGTTTACATAGCTTGTATATTAAACTGTCAAACACCGCGAGGACACCGGTGACCGCAACCTATTGTTCTTTAATTGTGTCTATAATGACGGTACTCAAAGGGTTAAATTGGAAAGGTGGTCAACCGCAGGGTGCGGCTAGCCGCGCGGTTTACCGCTAGTGCATAATAATGATAATAAAACATTAGTATTTCGCCCCAATCCAATTAGAAAAATGTTTTTAGAATACTCAATAAAACTAAAAAAATAGTTTCTGTTATGTCAATGTACTGCTTACAAATGTCCTTGCTGGATTTGTTTTTCTATAATGAAAACTTTGTTAATCAGTCTATCACATATAAAAATTACATTTAAGAACAATTTATTTTATGATATTATTATCAAAATCGTTGACTAAATATTATTTTTTTTTTGTTAAACAGTTACTTAGTAACTTGTTTTTAGAGTTTATTTTTGAACTACTTTGTTGGTCAAGTCAAAATTAAGACAAACATTCATTCGATTCTCGAGTAAAACTTTTTTTTGACGGGGGAAAAATCGTACAATGACTTCTTCCGCCCGGGTGAGGCGGGAGGGAGTGTCAGACGCTTACTCACTAAAAACCACCCCGTTCCTACTCCTGCACTTCGAGCCGGAGCTCCGGCAACCCGTTAAGACCTCCGAGGCTCCTTCAAGTAAAGCTAGCAGGCCAACTCCTAGTCCCCAAAAGTCCGGTAACGCACTTTTTTTTAGACAAGCCCGCCACAACTTCCCAAAACCGCTGCAACTCCTGTAAGCCAGGATCTACAGTAGATACAACCATGAAAACACCGGAACACTGAAGTCCGGCGCGTCCCAGGGACATGAGTAACTGTCATGGTTCCTGCAACGAAGTGAATCAGAAGATATTATAAGAGGTGACGAAAAAATACAATAGTTTGCACTTCCCTCGGTGAATTACTGCAGGAGACAGGATGAATTAATGCACTTGTAACGCCTGTAGTGTTCCATGTGTCTATGAGCGACGCCGATTGCTTACCATCCGAGTGATCCGTCAGCTCGTTTACCTGGTTATGCCATAAAAAAGGCATCAAAGTGCTAATTCATATTTTCTTCTTCGTACATACATACATAACTTCACGCCTGTCTCCCATGGGGGTAGGCAGAGACTAAGGAACGCCAATTACTACGATTCTTACATACCTCTTTCGCTTTCTTTCTTCGATTCTTACAAGATTCTTCTAATCTTGAAAAATTGGAATTTTCAAATTGACCAACGAGGTAGTTAATTTTTGTAGTACGTACGTGCATTTAAATTAAAAATCAAAAACTTAATGTACAGTCAAAAGTTCACTGCCACCGTGAGTGATGTTCACACGGCAATGCGCAAGTAATTTCATATTAATGTGCATAAACAACGCGTGCGTACGCATAAACACACGCACGCGTACGCACACGGATAAAAATATGCGTGTGCATGTGTATAAGCGCTGCAGCGCAACCGATGGTAGTCTTACGGTGGCAGTGGACTTTTGACATTTGACCGTACCTAAGTGCCTATTAAAAATATTGTTTTAAGTTAAAGACAACAAATCTTGCGCACATTACAACAAAATAAAAAAAAATTGAAAACTCTTTATTAGTTCTTAAGACTGATGCTTAAAATTAATAAAAATATTTGGAAATAAAGATATTATGTTTATATAACTAAAATGTGTTTATTTTATTTATTTTTCCATCCGTAATAATAGTTTTCATGGAGCGAAAATATAGTTCTTGTGTATATTTAAATAGGGCTCCTTTTATAACAATAAAACCCAGTGTTGTGTCAGATAAATGAAATTGATGGATAACAATCATTAAAGACACAGATCCAGTAGCTATTGCACTAGTTACTATAGGAAACTGCATCGGAACCCGAGAATCGAACCCAAGACCCATTGTTAGGCAGTCGTGTTAGCTACACAAGATGACATGATTAATTTTCCATTTAAAAGTATAGAGCTTAAATAAGATTATTTATTGACGTTAACTTACAAACAAAGACATTTAATACATAACAGTAATTATTATATTATATTAATTCATATAATTATATGAAAGGTATTCATATAGGGACATAATTTATTTCAAAAGTGACCATTTTAATTGCTCCTTCGCCGATTGTAACACCTGAAAATAAGAAAAAGCTAACGTAGGTATTATATTACATAACATTGGCTTTAATCTTTATAGGGATGGGCAGGGGCACATACCTAACACGTTTATTTAGACTTTATCTTTTTGCCAGTTATAACAAAGACTTAGCTACGTGAGCGATCTAGAAGCGGTGACATGTGAATTCAATGCGATGCGATGGCTTTTGGGGGGGGGGGGATATCATCCAATGACTTCTTCCGCCCGGGTGAGGCGAGAGGTAGTGTCAGACTCTTACTGACTAAAAACCACCCCGTTCCTACTCCTGTACTTCGAGCCGGTAACCCGTTAAGTCTTCCGCGGCTCTATGGCATCAGCCCTATTGGGTGGTGGTCTGATGGCTCCTTGAGGCGTATGTCCTTGTATGCGAATCATTTCATTTTATCAAACAACAACATGACAGCATTGCATCCAAATATTACAGTTCGCGAGAAAATATCAATCCGACTGATCGCGATCGAACCCCACGGGCGTATTCTCACGTAGGACACTTCAATTGGTTTCGATAGTTTGTCGTTTTCACGCCGCGCCGCACAGCTTCGCAATAACTTCTAGATCGCTCACGCAGGACGTAGCGTCACAAACACTTATATTGTACTCAATTTTCAACTCAACATCATATTCTAAATACACTTATGTTGGAATACTCAAACGCTACTCAATTTTAAGTCGCGCTTAAGTATAGTTCTGTCTCCACAAATTCTTTGTAAAATGACAGAGATGGCACGATATTTAAGCACGACTTAAAATTGAGTAACGTTTCAGTATTCCGGCATTAGCGAGCAAAGAAATGGAGCCACTAGCATTTCTTCTATTCATTTCTTGATAAATATTTTCTCATACAATAATATACAGTTTCCGAAACTTTATTTTAAAATCCGTCTGGTGCATTAATTTAAAACTCTAGACACGTATTTTTTCATTTCTTTCAAAATTAAATACTTTCGACGATATATTAATTTGATATATCGTGTGACGTCACAGCGTGTCACATTTTGTAGCACGTTATGACGTAACAACTGCTAACCTTAGCGCCGTTTTGTCTGAGTATTGTAACTTAATACGAGAAAAAAATATTAATTAGATTTTTAATTTTGATACTCTGGAAACTACCCAATTAATTTATTAAGTCGTAACGTATGTCGTATAAAAGGTAATTACTTTAAAATGAGAGCATTTTGTTATAAATGGATTAATATATTTTTAAAGTTATAGAAGGTTCGATAATATGAAAAAATAAACGCCTGTGGCGTCGTTTCTTTGCTCTTAAGTGTATAATTTGCTTGGCTAGGGAATTGAACCCAACATCTCATTAGTTGTGTAAGTAAACTTCCTATTGTACTTCTGTCTGTAGGTATCCAACTACATACTTGTAAACGCCCATTTTGGTATGAAAAAGGTTTTTGTACTAAATAGAAAAATATATAGGGCTATATCGCCTCTAATTCTCCAAAGAGGTAAAATGTACCTATTATTAGTATTTATATTACTACCAATCAAGTTCTTAAGAAATGTGATATTATACAAAGGGGAAACCCAACAGTACTCGAACTAGGACTCAATGTAATGGGGCCTATCGTATTTCAGGTCACCATATGGCAGTAGTAACTAATGTGAACCTTTTGTATTCGTCCAATAGAGAATTAGGTACTTGCCAACTAATCAAATTAAATACATTTTTCGAACTATCAATAACTAGATTATTCTATGAATTTTGTTCGTGAGATTGTGTATTGTGACATCACATTTTTTTAGCGTCCAACAGCACACTTATTTCTTAAAAAATCCTGGAAAAATATTAAAACTAAGTTGATCATAAAATCAATTAATGAAAGTGTTATTATTTTTTAATACTATGTTGTATTGAACTGTAGAATTAATTTATTTTATGAGTAAGGAAAGTACTCAATTAGTTAGTGTAACACCATTGGACGTTTAAAATTTGACAGCTGCTGTTATTGGACAAAAATCCTCTTAGTACATTTGCACAACATGGTAAGCAAAAATGCGGTAGGCTTCATTATCTATTTAATACTACATGGTGATATGCCCTCCAAAAGATACTTATAAGAATTTAAGAGAGACATTGTAGAACATACTTTTTTTAAAAAGAATAACGAATGGAGTTTCTTTCTCCATTCGAATCTACAATTTGGAATGAGCGTCTAGCTTCACCTAGCTTCATTGACGGACTGACTGACAGACTATTGTTTATTTTGTATTTGTTGACGTTTCCAAAGTACTAAATTATGGTTTAATTGAAATAAACGGTTTTATGTTTATATCTTTAGTTTTTTTTTTGTTTGCCAAACACTAGGATTTTCACCTGCGTCGTGGGTGCGTTAACAAACATACAAGTTCACATACACATGACAATGGAACAACAATCTGTGGATCACACAGACTTGTTCCGTGCGGGAATCGAACGCCGCCGCCGCTTATTTGTAAATACAAGCTTAAGTTTTGTAGTTGCATGTGAAATTTATTACCTACGTTGCATTTGGCCATTCAAAGTGGGATTTAAAGTGCAGAAAAGCCAAGTTTATTTATTACAAAAGAAAAATTTATACTTATGGTTGATAAAAATAATATTATGGGACTAAAATTCAAAAGCTGACAGGGCTAAATTCTAAGAAAAAACTTCAATACTACTGTATGAATGAAAATGAACCTTATAATTTAATAACTACAGACCACTTTACGATTTAAAATAAGCAAATATTCGTACCTTACACCAATGAGGAAACTCTAATGCATTTTTAATGAAATTGAAATGTACAAAGTTACAAGCAAAAAAAAAATAATTTAAAAAATCAAGCGTCCAATACAAAGCGATATACAGCCAATGAAAGGGTTGCCAATGAGAAAAAAAATAAAATGAAAAAAATAATGTTAGTAAATATATTTTTAATAAGCAACTAAATAACTACTAATTTATACAGATAACATCGTACGTATTCACAACTATGTATTTGCCCCGTATTCGCTTACATATTCATTATGTTCTGTAGAATCTGAAATTTTCAATAAATAAAAATCGTTTCAATAAAAAAAAAACAAAAAAAAAACTAATTTTCTAAAAAAATCCCCGTGAAAAAGTGACTTTTAAAAATCGTGAATCTAATGAATATATAAAACAATAATCCCATGTTATTAATAATAAAATACACTTAATAATATTATTAAAAAAAAAACAACCAAAACAGTAAAACAAACCACCCAAAGTAAAAAAACAAAACAAATTAAATAAAACGTATTTATTCAATAAAAAACTAAAATATAAATAAACAAAAATATTAATTCTTAAAGAATTTAAACTACAAGAAATATAAAGTGAATATTATCTAAATAAAACATCTAAGTAAATATTAATATTTTTACGAATTAATAACATTATTTTGTTTTTATTTATTATAATAATGTATTTTTTATTCAATAATATACTATAACGGGCAAACAAATATATATTTTCAACCTAACATAATTATACTAAAAACAAAAATAAAAAAAATGATTCGATTTAAATTATAAGTGATCTTAAATGAAAGGTGCAAGTGACACAAAAAGTGCAACTGTAAAAAAAAAAACTAGCAAAATCAACAAAATTAAACTTGATCGCTTGTGGTGTTTAAGTCAAAAAAGGAAGTTCAAAAACTATAGTCAGAATTTTAATTCGATTCCAGATTTGACATTAGCTACTGTCATTTTGTAAAATAATGATACCACATATAATAGTGTAGTGATGAACACAAAAATCGATAAACAATCAGTGTATGTGTTTTATAATAAATGTTACAGAAAGTGATAACGATAGCGATGACGGCGAGAATTTATAAAATACATTATTACCATAATACATCTATCTGTTTTATTTGTCATGTTCCTTCATGATTACATTTTTTATTTATTTCACACACAAGTATTATAAAAGAAAAGTCTCAGAACGTTAATTAATCGTCAAAACTAAATTATCGGTTCAGAAATATTTAATTTCGTGATATACTTAGTTTACGAGAGTAAAATTATAAACGAGAAGAATCGATCCGGAAATATTCCATTTCCATATCGAATAATTTCGCAACGTCACTATTTAGTACTTGTCATAACGTTGCAATACTGAAATTGTCAAATCTGGAATCGGATTAAAATTCCGAGTATAATGGCCGAAGACTGAAACTTTACTCAATTTTAAGTATATTTCTGTCGCTACAAACTCTTTGTAAAATGACAGAGACAGCATGATATTTAAGTATAACGTATAAAATTAAGTACCCTTTCAGTACCTGGACGTAAAACAGTCGTAATAGTTATTTTACGTTTAAAGTAACCGAAACGATACCGCGTTCGTCGCTTTGATTGGCCGGCTTCAATGAAACCATCAATCAGAGCGCTGAACGCGGTCTCTAAGCTCTCAGGTCGAGGTTTAAGTTCTAGAAATTGACTAAAGCGCAAAGTATATTTATTATGTATTAGCTGTGCAATATAAAATGAGGTGTGTAGCAGTGACCAAAAATCTATATCAATACATAGTATAAAACAAAGTCGCTTTCGCTGTATGTCCGTATGTATGCTTAGATCTTTAAAACTACGCAACGGATTTTGATGCGGTTTTTTTTAATAGATAGAGTGATTCTTAAGGAAGGTTTGTATGTATATACATATTGCACCAGTGCGAAGCCGGGGCGGGTCGCTAGTCTATATATATAAAAATGAAACCCGTTCCCCGTTGTCAAGCCATAACTTGAGAACGGCTGGATCGATTTGGCTGTTTTTTTTTTGTTGTGTTTGTTATTGTCTGGAGAAGGTTCTTATGATAGAAAAAAATCCTGAAAATCTTATGGGAAAGGGAGAAAACGGCATTGCGCGTACGTAGTCGCGGGCAGAAGCCAGTTCTAAATATAATAATGTAACCAATTTTCGAGCCTACTAAGGTGGAAAGTCTTCTAGGAAAAGGGTCAGACTGTTAACTGAACAAAACTCGAGTGGTCCCCGGTGACCGCTCACCACTTACTCCATTATAGACCTTATTCCCGATGTTTAGAGACTACTTTTGTATGAACAAATTTTGGGGATTTATATCAAGTGACAAAAAATTATACATACATCATCTACATCCGTATATCTACTTCAATTTTGTTTATTTATGATGTAAATGAGAACAAATATTTTATTTTCCATTCGCTTCAATCACACGTCATCACATCACAATCTCTTTTACATTATATTCATAATCTACATATTTGTCACTCCAGCACCATAGAGATCACTAATAATTTAATCGAATACAACTAATACAACTATCGATATCGACATACAACGTTAGAACGGTGGTACAACACTACAAAGTTGTTAGATACAGGAAAAGAAATTGATATTAATTTACAAAGACCACCACCAGTGGTGTCAATGAGCCAATTTATTGTCGAACCGATTAATCGGATAAAAAAATCGATTATCCCGAATAATCGGATAAAAAAATCGGTGTATATTTTTTAACGATTTTCCGTATCTATCAACTAAAAACCATACCCAGTGCAGACAAACAGACTACCAGAACATTTTATTGACTTGTTCCATTACCTGTGCTACGGTTTGCTCGCCAAGCGGTACGTCTTCGGTCCGTAGTGCTGCGCGACCAACTATCGATGTTGGGTCCGAGTCCAGAATCACTCTGGAATAAAAATGGAAACGGAATTAAAGTATGGACAAATCATTCCAGTAAAACGGACTGCCTCGTTGGCCGAGTGGTCGCAAGTGCGACTACCGGGCAAGGGGTCTCAGGTTCGATTCCCGGGTCGGGCAAAGTATTACTGGGTTTTTAAAAATCTCAGTAGTAGCACGGAGTCTGGAAATGTGCTCGGTATATGGCAATAAGCTCACCCCTTATTACATGGGACTCATTACATAAATAGTGAAAAGTGGGTGTTACATTGTATAGTGGCATTAAGTGCCGTATTGTGCACCTCTGCCTAACCCTTCGGGACTAAAAGGCGTGATGTTATGTTAAAACGGATTTCTTTATGAAAATTCTTATAAAACATTAATTTTAGAAAGTCTGTGAATGTAGATAGGATATTTTTTTCATTCACATTTGTATTATCTTCTTTTTTATGACATAAGCCGGTAAACGAGCAGACGGATCACCTGTCACCTGATGGTATGCAATCGGCGTCGCCCATGGACGCCTGGAACACCAGAGGCGTTACAAGTGCGTTACCGGCCTTTTGGGAATTTGATGATTGTGGTAGATTCGGGGATTGAGGACACTGGGTATCAGTCTCACGTCGGCGACCAAAGCTATTGTACACGCGCTTAGACATTGCTTACTTGCTTGTATAAGGGGACTATGTATGTACTCATGAGGAAGAACCCCTCTGTGGTTCGAAACTAGTAGAGCTTTCAGTATATTCACGTGAGTAACCCTCAATTTTAGTTAATTTAATATGTCTCACGATAGTTATTATACTATAACATACTATTTCTATCTAATAATATTATTCATTTCTTCGAGTTTCGTTCTTCATTTTTCCTGCTATATAGGGATTAATTTCCTAAACCCCGTTAGTGGCTAATGTGGAATTTCCCACTACACCTTTTTAAATCTTTATTCTATTATCTACGCAATCTTTTTAAAATAGTTGCCAGGGCATCATTTGATTAAGGGTATGTTAATGTAGTACATAACGAATCTCACCCGCCATCACAGATCTCATCGAAGGCCAGCATCACAGCGTCCAAGTTGTCCAGCAGGACCCTCCTCTCTACGTTCCTCCTCAGTAGTATACTGACTGACTCGTACAGGGTGTTCAGTACTGACTGGAGGATAAGCTGGAATTATAAATAATTAATTAAATAATATAGTTATTAAGTAATATATTATATTATATATAACATAGGTTTCTTAACATAACATAACATCACGCCTTTTACCCCGAAGGGGTGTTACATTTTACATTGCGGCACTTAATACCACTGTACAATGTAACACCAGCAGAGTCCCATGTAATAGGAGTGAGCTTATTGCCATATACTGGGCACAATTCCAGACTTCATGCTAGTACTAAGATTTTTTCAAAAAACCAATATTACTTTGCTCGAACCGGGAATATATCCCCCGAGACCCCTGGCCCGGCAGTCACACTTGCGACCACTAGGCCAACGAGGCAGTCTCTTAGTTCAATTTCTTAGATTCTATTAAGGGTGTGTTTGCATTACTGGACATGAAATATTCATTGTTACATGTATTCTGTGAACAAATCATGCTATATCAGACCAAACTAATATATTTGATAGAGCAAAGTCAAAGTCAAAGTCAAAGCATTTATTTCAATTAAACCATAGTTTGGTGCTTTTGAAACGTCAACAAATACAAAATAAATAATAGTCTGTCGGTCAGTCCGTCAGTGAAACTAGGTGAAGCTAGGTGCTCATTCCAAAAAGTAGATTCGAATGGAGAAGAACGAGAAAGAAAATCCATTCGTTACTCTTTTTTAAAAAAAAGTATGTTCTACAATGTCTCTGATACATATTTCAATACTGTACGCATATGTAAGAACAATGCAAAGACATGCTTGACGAATTATACTAATAACTTACTAAAATTAAAAAAAAATATAAAAATCTTGAAGTCCAACATGGTGCTCACATATGCATACTGACAATCCATAGAATTAGTAGCATATCAATCTATTAATTTTTTCTGTAAATTGAGAATCAGTTGTCATAAAAAAACTCTAGTTTTAGATTAGGAAATAATATATCCTGGATTGTGAAAGATACCATGCTTTTATGTATCTTTTTTATTATAAATATAATTAATATCTACCGATAAAGTCAAAGTCATTTAATCTGTCAAACACCAAGCGGTCACCGGTGACCGCGACCTATTGTTCTTTAATTGTGTCTATAAAACCGGTACTCGACGAGTTAATTCAATAAGACCAGGAAGGCAAGCTCAAGGTTTGAACGTCAACAAATACAATAAAATAATAGTCTGTCAGTCAGTCCGTCAGTGAACCTAGGTGCTCATTCCAAGGTGTAGATTCCTATGGATAGTGTAGATAGATAATCATCTAAAAATTGTCCTTCATAATGAGACTTGTAGAACATACTTTTTTTAAAAAGAGTTACATTCTCCATTGGAATCTACATTTTGGAATGACCACCTAGCTTCACTGACGGACTGACTGACAGACTATTATTTTATTGTATTTGTTGACGTTTGTTGACATTTCAAAAGTACCAAATTATGGTTTAATTGGTATAAATGCTTTGACTTTGACTTTGAAAAAGCGTTACCTCATTTTCATGTGAGCTGCCCATAACATAGAAGAAAAGATCCACATTGCTCTTGTAAACACAGGTCAGACCTTCCAGCATTATGATCTCTGCATTTGCTCTGAAAATAAATATAATCACAAGGATAACTATGGAGTTTCTTACTTGGCTTTCAATACGATTTGACTGACTCATATTGAGTTTTAGGGTTTGAGGGCATAAGGCATCTTAAACCTTCTGGCCACCATTACATTATGTTAACATGGTCACATACTCTTAGTATGAATGAATAGATGAGTGCACAGTTGGTGCGGTGGCTGGGCAATGTGTCACGGGTTTGCAACACTTTGTGTGATCCACAAATAGTTGTTTCTGGTCTGGGTGTCATTGCATATGTTAACGGGGCAATGTTGTAAAAAAAAATCCTATCTTACCTATGTGTTTTATTGAACAAATTCTTCTCAAATGCCTTCTGCTCCTTGGCGGTCGGCAGGACATCTTTATCATAATACTTGGCGAGGATCCTGTTGCCATCGTTGTCCAGGATACACATGCCTTTCACTATGTATAGGGTTGGCTCCTAGAATTAGTCAAATTAAAATTATGAGAAAAGGAACAATTACATGTTTGTTAGTGCACCTTTATTCAACAAAATACAACCTGTAAGGATACTCATACAGTGACCAAAGAAGCAAAGGTAATTTGATAATCTACTATATAAAAATAAGTCGGGTTTTCCTTCCTGACGCTATAACTCCAAAATGCACGAACCAATTTCCACAGTTTTGCATTAGTTGGAAATCTCGGGCTCTGTGAGGTGTATAGCAAAGAAAAATCCACTAATCCCCAAACGAAATGTTACATAAAATGACACCATCTGGTGGCGAAATGAAGTTCGCTGAGCTGGCTATATTATCAGCTTAGAGAGAGAAAGAAAGAAAGAAAAATAATTTATTCGCCACTTCGCTTACTCACGTAACTGTTTGCCGAATACTCAACTAGTTTCAAGCGATGCTAGAGGCTCATATTCATGAGCAGCATTAGGCAAACGGCGACTCGGCGACTGTCGCGCTGATACTGAGTAGGCTGCACTAGTCAATTCCTTGTCAAACAGTTACGTGAGTAAGCCGATAACATAATAATTAATTTATATAATAACTGATTTGAAAATTAATACATTTTATAATAGTTAAATGTTATAATAGTATAACATTACTCGTAAATTACCGATGAAATTCAAGATTAGATCTTCTTATTGGACATAGTAAGTATATTTTTTGTCACTATTTTATGTTGTAGATTGTAAATTACGAGTTTAGGATAAAAATAGATGAATAATCTACATAAATGATTAACACGACATACCATTTAAGCGATTTACTTAGTAAAGGCACTGGAAATGACTTCGAACTACAATCAATATTTTGTTTCGAATAAGTCTTTCGGACAATTTATACTTTGAATTATTTTACAAGAAAACGAAGTAGGTGTAAACCAAAATGTTAATTAAAGCTTTATAGCGTTACTAAACTGTATATTTTTAAAGAATTTCACGGAAATACGTTGCAAATTACACCGCTTCAATGTTTGTGTGCGAATATGGTTATTTCGTAATAACCGAGCGAAAAGTTTGTAACTTACAAAGAGAGATCCCTCCATTGTTGTGTGAACCATTTTTATGACAAATTATTTTCAATTTTGGAATATTTTTAAACAAAACATGCACTTCAGCTACGCGTTGACGTGTTTCGTTTTGACAATTGATTTTTGACGTATGACGTTGCGTTTAGTGATGTGTCATTCATTACCGATTCGTTTTACCGGTTTCTGAAAAGTTCAATATTAAATTAATTAAAATAAATAGCAAAAACGCTAAGCAGCAATAATAAGGTAATTATAAACTAAATTGATAAATGGAATATACTCTTTGAGTCGTATTATTAGTTACGCCATCTGTCTTGTCCTATACGTAACTGTAATAGAACGTGTTGTGAACTTAGTTAGTCATAACGCTTAATAGATAGCGTTAGTAAGGTAATTGACCACTATTGCCCGCTAGATGTCGTTAGGTTTCAGTTTCTGCGATACAAGATAAAACCCTCCAGAGTTCTAAAACTATAATGCTTATACACATTATCATCATTTCGACCCAGGTCCACACTTGGGTATCCTGTATAGAATGCTGCGCCTTCGATTCGTACTAGAAACATTTTATTCTTTACTAGCTTCTGCTCGCGGCTTCGCCCGCGTTCCCGTAGGATAAAAAGTAACCAGGCCGTAATCTATCCCTGTTCCAAATTTCACATCGATCCCTTTATCCATTTTGACGTGATTGAGTAACAAACATACACACAGACTCACAAAGTTTCACATTCTCATAATATCTATAATATAATTAAAAATGATTTTTTTTTCAGTAGTCTCGCTAAAACTCGAGAACGGGTGAACCGAGTTGGTTAATTTTTGTTTTAAAATATTTATGGAATAAAGTATTATTATGAAGTAAAATGTGAGTTATAATAATAGCTTATTTGTAGACTGAGGCGTGAATATCCTACAAGATTGCTCTCCAGGTGTACTCCATCGCTATATACACGTTTTTCAATGAACTTACGACCCACACCCGCCTACAAAGCGTAAATTTTGCGAAAAACCCTCATATATAAAGTTTACCAGTCACTGTCACGGCCTGATGGTGGTAATGAAATATTATATCAATATTTTCATCGACAACTTTGATCTAACAACAACAAACAGATTAAAAATAGCTACAAATTAATTACAATATTTTCGCGCCACATTTTGACACATGGCGGGAAGATGCAAGATGGCCGCTAAGAATAGACAAGATAGAGACTTTGATGTCACCGAATCAAATTACAAAAAGTTTAGTTTCCTCTTTAAACTTTAGATGTTTGTAACATTTATTTATTTCTTTTATTTTGGAATGCTTTACTCGTGTTGCGGTTTTGGTAATAAGAGACGCGGTGTCTGGTGGCTACGGGGAGATGGATGATTATTGAATTATATAATAGTTAGTTAAGTGTTTTATTTTTAAGTCTTTATACTTAAGTAAAAATCGGTCGAGGTCCGGCACGTCGCCGGACCTCGATCGACTTCACTTCGATATTCCTAATTGAAAGTTACTAAATAGCCCAGGTGAACTAATTAGGTATCTATATTATTATTATCATGTTACCTATCTATCTTAGGTATAGACTTCTCCAATAGTCTTATATAGTGTTGTGCCTCTGAGCTCGAAATTCAGCAGTTACTGGAGTAAGTGTACACTCCCCCTTAGCTTGAAAAGACCTCCTACACACTACGTTTGCCTAGACATGGTCTCTACTCCAGGAACACGTTAATCCCCAACGACGCTCAATAAGCCTGAACCGTTTATGTGTGGGAGAGCCATGCCACGAATGGGCCGGCTCGACTGGAGTGATACCACGGCCGAGCAGAAAAACAACGTTGTTTCTACAACACTTGCGTTGTGTTTCGTCGTGTGAGTGAGGTTACCGAAGACCAAATCCCCAATCCTCGAATCCCCAATAACCGTCAAATTCCTAATCTCCAATAGGCCGGTAACGCATTTGTAATATCTCTGGTGTTTCAGGTGTCCACGGGTGGCGCCGATTGCTTACCATCAGGGATTTACCTGATGGTAAGATGATTACCGGCGCCGCTCACCTGCTCGTTTACCGACTTATTACATAAAAAACCTATAAAATTACGACCTTCAAACCGTTGGTCAAGCGTAGAGAATATGGATAAATCTCATCTTATATAAACAAGGCTCAAAGTCCAACACTAAACTGTCATAGACAGTTGATTTTGTGTTGATCAACATGGCAGCTTTTCTAAAAACCATTTATGTATTCCATGAATGCATTACGTGTCACAAAGTAATATAATAACGAAACTTTCACAAAATAAGGGAAAAGTCGATAAACCATTTATAACTCGAGTAGTGCTCACGATGTTTCACTAATCGACTATTACTGATCGTTACTTACTCGTTTCCCTCTAATTATTGCTAGTAAAATCGACTAAACTACCCTTGATGTATAATCTGCGACATTAGTCTGAGGTAAAAATAAAATGAGAGTGGGGTGAGTTGGGGTTGGATGGCGGTGGGTTCCGTATAATAAAAATCAATTTAATTTGGTTTCATCTGAAGCTTAGTTTTTGTATCACATTCAAACCCTCTATTTCTTGTAAAGGGTAAGCTGTGGTACATGCTAATATCACTGCTACTAGTCTGTTCATTATTTAAGTATTTTCAGTTATATTAAGCTTACCGTATTACTTACTGTATCGAACCATATTGTCTTCGCCCGATTCAGTAATAAAACCCGATACCCTTTGCTGACTATAAGCGAGATCAGCCGTTTCATCAGACTGTTTTATATTAAGTACTTTGTCATGTGTCAGAGATTGAACCTGAGACCTTTAGTCAATTAAAAAGATAGTCTAAGGTTAACTAACATATATTATTTTGTTATATTCAGGGAACCTTAATAATAGTCCAATATAACTAGACCCTTACCTATAAACTAAAAGGTAATATAATTAGATCTACTTATATCGGCAGTTCAGCAAAGAACCAATATAACTTGAACCCTGACTCTAAATAAAAAGTATGTATGATTAGATCTAGTTATACAGGCGGTTTAGTGGTAGTATATTTTGGGCTCACATTCATAAATAGAAGGACATTCGGGGACTAAATCATTTTAACGTCAAACTGCGAACGAGTGACGCGTCGAGAGACTTTTATACGATCCGGGGCGGGGACGATACGATGTTCTTCGTTTTTTTATAGATGGACCGACATTTGACCACTATCTCGCCTGGTGGTAAACGATGATGCAGTCTATGATGGAGCACGTCGTCCCATAAGCAACCTTTGACCTTGAAGACACCTAGGTTATATACCCTTCAGGAAATACAGAAATTTTAGAATTTTGGAATTGAGAAGAACAAGGTACACTGTTAAACATACCTAAACCCAATGACTCTCAGCCAGGAAGCGACCCTGCATGCTGCGGTTTTATATTTGATGGCCGACGTTTGACCACTATCTCGCCTGGTGGTAAGCGATGATGCGGTCTACGATGGAGCACGTCGTCCCATAAGCAACCTATTCACTCGGGCCTTGAAGACGCGGGCCCAGGTTATATATACCCTTCAGGAAATACGGACTCTGGCAAAGAATTCTACTCCTTAGCACAATGCGATCATTTAGAAAAACATTCTAAAATCGTATGCTATAAACGTCATTAGGTGTCAAACGCGGGTGTCAGCTGACAGACGGGTCTCGTGTCCGCCCCTAACTAAATAAAACATATCGCTCGAGTTTAGGATGAGTAGTATGGGTACTGAGCGGTTTAATGTGCTCATTGCATTGCTATAATAACTATAGTAACACAGCACAGTGTCCCTGAGAAAAAGTATTGTGAAATTTTACTTAGTAATCACTACATAGTATAAAACAAAGTCGCTATGCGCCGTCGGTCCGTCCCTATGTATGCGCAGATCTTTATAACTACGCAACGGATTTTGATGCAGGTTTTTTTTAATAGATAGAGTGATTCTTAAGAAAGGTTTATATGTATAACACATGCATATTACACCCGTGCGAAGCCGAGGCGGGTCGCTAGTAATATTTATAAATAAGCTATGTGGGTTGGTAGAGTAGAATGTAACATTTTTATACTGACTTTAACAAAAAAAGGTTAGACCTGTATGTATTGGGCTCGCTGCCATTGCAGCGGTAAGACCCCTCTTTGAGGAGTGGCTTGAGAGACGCTACGGCGTCCTCACCTACCGCCTGATGCAGGTCCTCACCGGACATGGAAGTTTCGGGAGGTACCTGTGTCTGATGGGGCGGGAGGACACGCCCGGGTGTCATCACTGCGAGGACCGCCCTGAGGACACGGTGGAACACACCGTAGCGGAATGCCCTGCGTGGGCTGAGCACCGCCGTGCCCTCAGGGAAGTGATCGGCGATGGCGACCTCTCGCGTCCGGACCTAGTGCAGGCCATGATGCGGAGCGAGGGGGACTGGGATGCCGTCTCCTCCTTTTGCGAAGCAGTCATGCTAGCTAAGGAGGAGGCGGGACGCGTGAGGCAGCGAAGCGCTGCCTCCTCGCAACCCAGCCATCGCGAAGGACACACCGGGCGTCGGGGATCGCGGGACGAACTCCGGCCACTGTAAGCGCGCGCCTGCGGACGGCGAGCATGGGTGGCTCCCCGTCCGACCAGAAACAGACCCGAGCGTACGGCGCGTCGCGTTCCGCGCGCGCCTCAAAGAGCCATCAGACCACCACAGATGGGGCCCATTAGGGCCGATGCCGATTCGGAGTCGCGGAGAACCTAACGGGTAACCGGGGCTCCGGCTCGACGTGCAGGAGAAGGAACGGGGTGGTTTTTAGTCAGTAAGAGTCTGACACTCCCTTCCGCCTCACCCAGGCGCGAGCAGTCATTCTATGATTTTCCCCCCTTAAAAAAAAAAGACCTGTATGTATGTATACATGTACGTTTGTGCGTGATTATCTCGCGATATTGTAGAAATTCCTGGACTTTAAATTTTATAGCATAATTTTTGTGTCTAGAGATAGTTAGCAGTCTAATGAGTGGCAAAGACTCTTTTCCTGTCGCGGAGAACCTAA